CCCCCCCCCCCCCAACTAGTTTTTTACTTCAGAAGTGGTATTGAATAATAAAGAGCTGATGCTCTCCACCATCTTCAGTGCCTTTTATGAAAGGAAGTTGTGTATTTTGCATTATCAGAGCCCATTCTCCAACTAATACAAGCATCACATTCATGCTTACATTGATACAAATGAACTACACCTTCCTAAGGCTTGCAGCTTTTAAGCAGTTGTACTTTGAAGCTTCAGGATTCACTTTCTTTACTGATCTTATGTTTGATAGGCATGCTCAAGTGTGGGTTTGAGTTCCTCACATGGCATGGTTTTGGTTACTTGTATGTACTGCTGGTAGGAGAATGATTCAAGCAAGAATAACATTTTTTATTGCAAAATTTCATGCAATGCTGAAATAATTTAGTTGTAACCAAAGCCCTTAATAAACACTCCGTAATGAAATGGGCATCTTTCATCTCAGTTGAAGGTGTTTGATATTACCTAGGCTTGACATAAACTCTCTGAAGTAAAAATCAGCTTTTACCCCTCTACTGTGGCCCAAGTGAATCTATACAGATTCCTTTTATGGTTGTTTCAGGAAAGTCCACTTTGTTGTTATCAGAAACACTGTCTAAACTTAAGAAACCCAGCCAAACTGCAATACCAACAAGTTTTGTTTTTATCACAATATTTGGTGTTTGCTGCAAGCGTCTGCACCAGGAACACTGAGAGCCTTAGCTCCCAGTTCCTAAATGAGTAAAATTTTTAGCCTGATGGTTGTGCAAAATCTTTCAAAAACGGTTTCTAAAGCAACCAAAATCAAACACAGTAAGAAGAGTTCAGTTTAAAAAAAAGGCAAATAACAAAAAAACATCCTGGAAAGCAAAGAGAGAACAGCACTGGATGATTTTTATATAGGCATCACATTTTATGGATTTTGTAACTGCAAATTGGCTAGCGTTACAAAAGAAATGAACTGGCTGAATTTAAGGTAATTCAGAGGAGCTGTCAGCAGAGCTACATTTGCAGCTGGCCTTAGAGAAGTGCCTAACCGAGATGCGCAGTCATTGCTGTCAGGGGAGAGAAGAGACCCTTTCAGAAGGCTGATTCAGCTTTTTAGGTGCATGGAATCACCCACTCAAGGTGAATTTCTCTCTCCATTTGCCAAACTGGAGTGGTGTGAGAATAAGGCCCCTATCTGAGCTGCCTAAAATCAGACACAACGAATTCCCTCTAGTATATATATATAAAGGTAAAGTCTTTAGATTTCATTTTAATTTGACACAGCAATTCCAGCAGGGACAGTACTCACCTCTATCAGACAATTTATAATTTTTTTTCCTGTAAAATAATGACCAGACTGCTCATATTCTGACAGGACATTTCTGTTCTGCTGAAATCATCTCCTCCCTTTGGGTGAATGATTAAACCAGCCTCCTTTTGCCTGCTCTTAATGACTAACTCACAATTTAGAGGAGTCCCAGTGCTATTTGGGAAAGTGTAATTTATTTCACTGACATGGTTGATATACCTTCTCACTGAATAAAGCTAGTCCTAACAGAAGTGGCATGTTCAGGGCTGTAAATGAAAGGCTTCCATTTCCAACAAAATCTGGAATTTTTGGTGTATCTCAGAGTATGGAGGTGTCCTGTCTGTAAAAGTTCAAATATTTGTACAGCATAACAGAATGATTCAAGCTATTCTCACCCAACTGTAGGTGCTGTTTCTTAACATTAATGCCCACAATCAGGATAGCGTGAGTAGATGAAGTGCTACAGCGAATGTTTTAAGCAGTGTGTCTCCTTCTCTTCTAGAATAAAAGATTAATTAGCCTGGATGACACTCTGCAGCCCAACTGAAACCAAAGGAGATATTTTCTTTATGCCAACTGAAACTCTGTTCAAAATTTTTAATAAGTGACAGTGGCACCTAAAACTTACCGTAATTGATGGTCCAGCAAAAACCAGACTAAGCAGCATCAAGAAGGGAACAGACTCTTGTGTAGGTTCAATGTATGGCATACTCAGACTCTTGTCATAGCAATTAAATCCAGAGTGAACTGGCTTGAAGACATCAGTAAGTTCAAGAAAGTAGAGGCTAACAACAGAAGATGCCAATATGGGCAACTAGAAGAGGAGAAATCAACAAATTACTGTTTGGAAATGGAATAGCAATGCTTTGGTAAAGACAACATAGTATGTTAATAAATCTCTGTGATTGCTATTTACATCTCACTGCTCCTTGTCATATCCATTTTATCATCTTTAAATAATTAATTCTGTAGAGATATGATACTATTCAGTTGATATCAAATAACCCCGTTTTCTACCAAGCTAGTCAAAACACCCAATCCAGTCTTCAGCTCACGTAATTTAGCCTTTTCATCTATGAAACATTAATAGACAAACTTTGATTTTTTTTTTTTTTTTTGCAAAGGAGGTACCAGGACTGCAGTCTCCCATGTGGGGCCTCAGCATTCTCCTGTTCATCATGATGCTTTTTGGTCCTTTAGCAACTCTCTGTCATGCATATGACAATGTTTATATCAAAGCCAGTTTGCATTAAGTTTCAAAGTAACAGTTAATGAAAAGCAGTATCCAGTGCTTCCCTAGAATCTAAATATGTGATAATATAGTGTTCTGCCTTTGCACATTCATTTTGTAATTCTATCTAAAAAGCAATTAACTTGGGCAGGACTCAGTCTGTTTAGAACCATGGTGACTAGGGTTCACAGTTCTTTTATCCTTTTAGCTATTTAGTGATTTTACCCTTCGCAATTACTGCCAGTAATTTATTAAGAGTGAAGCTGGCCCCTCTGGGGATAAATTCACCCCAGCTTGCCACCAGCTCCTGCAAGCACAGATTCAACCAGTAAGCCTCTGTGGAAGGAAGTCATTCAAGAGAAACAGCAAAAAGGCATTCTGAAGCCATTGGTTTATAAGTGAACAGAGAGGGCAGCCCTGCCCCCCAGGGCGGGCATCGGGGCATTCAGAGGTGACCAGCAGCATGTGATTATTCTCTGTATCCTCTTAGTAAATACTCAGAAACGTTTTTTGTTTGTTACTTCCCAGAGTCCTCACTGAACAAGACAACACCAGAACAACTTCGTGCTCCCCCACTGAGATGCAATGACTCCTTCCCTGTGTCTCTTCAATGAAGGTACCTATGGATAACATGATGTGAACTGCCTATCTGCTTCCTTTTCTTATTTTTCTTAAGATGACTATCACATTAACTTTTCCTCACTGTTAGCTGCAGCTGAAAAGTAAAAGCTTGCAACTACTGAATATATTCACTTAGATAAAATCATCCAAAAATCAACCAAATCAACCAAAAATCAACCAAATCTTAGAAGGCTGTATCACATCTCTTGAGGAAAAAACCCTCCTCTTTTACATCGAGCACCTCACGTTATGAGAAATAGGGATTGTCCTAACATAATTTTGGGCATACTTAGGTTATAATATTCTTGCAATGTTCAGTACACATTTACAAAAATAATTGATTGATTAAAATCAATGTCATTCATCACATTCTACAATGGAATAAAAAAGCAGAGGTAAAAGTGGATAAATATGTATATTGGAAAAACGATGAATAAAACCTGCTATATATGGCAGAGGGACAATGGTTTCTTGCATTAACTGGCCATTTTCAGATTTTTAAACATTGAGCTTTTAAAATGCAGAATTTTTGTGCATAAAATGTAATTCTGGGTGGTTAAAGAAGGAGGGTTCTCGCTAAATTTCACTGAACCATTTTTTAATACAACTTAGTTTTTGTTTGGAAAGAACAGCTTATCTTTGATGTGCTGAAGGATTTGCAGAGGGTGAATTGTATTTTCAAAGTGTTCTAAGCAAAATCTGCAGAAGGTGGAGAATGAAAGAATTTTGCCTGTCTGGTTGTCTGTGTTCAAGTTGATTGCGTTGTAATGGTGCATAGTATAGAGGCTGTGATTGTGTAGAAAGGAGGGGAATAATGTGTATCGGCATCCCTAAGTGCTATGAGCATTACAAAAATAACACGAGGCATCTAGTAAGTTCGCTTCAGTAAGTAGTGTGTGTGTGTGTGTGTATATAAAATGCAAACATATATGCATATTTGCACTCCCATACTCTATTACACATACATATTATGTATAGCATATCACATACACAATATGTAGTACATATTATGTGAATACATGATGTATAATATAAGCATTATATAATCTGACATATAATATGTATGGCATAATTATATACAGTGTAACTAAATTGAGTCATGCTTCCGGCCCATGGCAGGAGGAAGTCCAGCTCTTTAGCTGGATGCATTATATACTACTACTTCTCACTTCCTGCCGGATGCGGTCCCTGATTGACTAGGATGCAAGCATGCATGATTAGTCAACATGTGCTAGGCTGTTTCTAGTCATTATACAGATAATGCAGGGATGAAAGAGGACTTCAAGTCTTCATACTCTGGGAATAATTAAGATTGTTGTGGAACTGGGTGCCCTTCCCTCTGCACCTGCCTGCACAGAGACTGTGGGGCTCCTGACCAGAGGGTTGGCACAGTGCACACTGCCCTGGCGTGCAGGGAGCTTGCACCGGGTCTCCGCTGCTCTTGTTGGGACACTGAAATTCTGCACAGCATTTGAACTCACACGTATTGCAACTTCACTTCTGCACAGCATTTAACTCTTGAAACATTTGCCAATGTCTTTTATTATTAACTGTTTGAAAGTCATACCTAATGATTTAGCCAGGGTCCAGGTCCCATGGGGCAAAGCATCTTATAACGGGACACAAACCTATTCCAATGAGCTAAATGTACAAAGCAGGCAAAGTGCCTATTGCCCTTCTTTTCAGAAGTTATGCCCTTCTATCTAGATGTCGCCAAAGGTTCACATTCTAGAATGGAAACACAGAGCAGGCAAACTCATGGAACACCTTGCACTCAGTTTCATCTTCATTGTGTATTTTTCCATTTCTCTAATGTCAAGAAAAGGAAAGCCTCTCCTTGAACAACAGGCTCTGCATTACCCACAAGTCCACCTCTACTTTGATTATGGTATTCTTAGGCAGGTAGCTGTTTTAAATGGCAGTATTGAACTATCAAAAATAGGTGATATACGAAGTGATATTTTATTGTGGGACGCTTAATAAAAGATGTGGATAACTTTTTTTGGTAAAAACTACTGTATGTAAGCTATAATTTTATTGTTAATTACAAAATCAAGGAATCGTAAGAATTGCATTTTACTGTCTTATGACTTCACTACAGGACTCCCATGTTATTTCTGACTGTAATTATCCATTCTGCTAAAAGAAAAGAAATAATTCTAAAGGACTGAATCTCCAACGTAACTGCTTACAATACTAATGAATAGGTTTATAGTCAATTTGCTATATACAGTATGTCAGATCCCACAGGACATTTTTCTTCCTGTCTTTTTTAAAATACAAATATAAAATGCATCTTCTAAAAGTCTAACGTTTCTAAAAAAAAGGCAAATGTTTCTAAAATCTTCTAAACAGTACAACTGGCTAATTAATACATGAATATTTATGGAGTGTTCTGCTTAAGGCAGCAGTAGTTCTGTAATTATAGACTTCAGCTCCCAACACCTTGAAAATGTCAAATATAATTAGATGGTAGAATGTGTATTGTTTTAATTACAAAATGGAATAGGAATTTTCCTGTTCCTAATTAGAATAATAAAACCCCCAACCCCCGTTCACATATCTTGACTAATAAGTCTTTATTATACTCTTACTTCCCTGGTTGGCTAATGGAGAAAGATCCCTGATTAGCTTGTAATTTAGACCTGTTAGGCTTAGAGTCTTAAAGCCAGGGCCATAATAAGCATAGCTGCTGAAAAGGTCTGATTTGGGGCTTATTTATCTTTTTCAAAAAAGATTTTTTTCTTTTTCCTCCTGTTATTTTCTTAAACTGTAAGTTAAGAGCCGTTATTAAGCCATAGGACTTTGCTATTGATAATAATTAATGTTATTAATATTTTAAAAGATTTTGCTGTATTGAGCTAGGAATTGTCCAAGCATGAGAAAGATGATCTCTATTCCCAAGAGCTCAACAAGGATGTAAATACCTAGAGATCTTGTAAGGAGAAAAATAAAAGGTGAAAACCTCCTGTATGTTACATAGTGCAGGACAAACCAAAAGAGCATTTGGTAGCACAATAACTTCTCTGAACTGATGGATATGTAACACATCTTCCTTCTGGCCAAGAGCCACAAGACGTGTATCACACATTGCAGAGAACTGAAAGAGGAGACGGCTGTGAGAGGAGTTCAGAGGTGGGAGATAACAGTTCTTCAGGTTGCCCATCACTCTTCTGTGGGACATGCTGTGATTGCTCCTGGGGCCGTTTTGGGGTACTCCTGGTTTACTTGTGAGGACTAAGATTATCCAGGACCCACAGTGCCAGCACAATTAGTTATTGGTCATATGATATAGCCTACGCATGGGAGCCACGCTGGTCCTGCCCAAAACCCACGAGCTGGCTACCCCTTAACAACCAGGCCCAAACTTGCTGGGGCATCCCCAGGTAGATGGAAACGCTTCTGTTAACTTCCCTATGATTAGTTTTCTATGGCTTCGAATACATGAAAAGAGGAACCTGTAGAGCTGTAGCCCACTAAGTACAGTATTGTCATTGCTACTAACAAGCCACAGATTTTGTACTGAGTTTGCAAGGACTCGGGACTAGGGCTTGTCAAACATGCTTTGTATGTACTTGTCTTGACCTGCCTGGAGCTTTGTTTTTATTTGGTTTAATTGTAACAGCAGTTTTTCTAATGACCTTAGAAATTAGGCTATGCCTAATCTGTTTTACTTTCACATATCTTTGTATGGTACAACTCTGCATGATTTTTGTATCTATATCTAGTAGTAACAAGTAGCTATTCTGTATAAATTGAGCTATTTATGACTCTAGTGTAGCACATCCCAAATCCTTTGTCAGGAGCAGTGTGATGTTGATGGTTATTCTTGCTCACTCTAGGAACCACGTGGGTTCATTTTTATGTTTGCTAATATGCTTAAACCTTGCTCTTTCTCTTTTGGTCTGTCTTTTCACATTACATCCTAATGTACTATATGTGGCATGGTTTACATGTGTTGG